CGGTCTGCTGGGCTTCAGAGCTCCGGAGGACTTTCACCAGGAGAAGGAGCAGAGTGCCTGCCCTCCTCCAAAGAGGGTGTGCACAGGAGGAACAAATAGGCCCTTAGGTGGCAGTCCCAGGGCTTTTTGAGGAAGCACCCAGCCCAAAGTTCACCTTCTGTTGGTTGGGGTTTTTTTCTCTCAGGGTTACGCTCTTAGTATTGTCTAGTATTTCCTGCTTCCTCCCCTGGCAGCTCCGATACACAGCCACAGCACTCAGTGCATTAGCCCCTGTGTTTGCCACATCCGTCCCCAGGGAAATCCCTGGGCACACACGCAGTTCAGCTTCTAATTAAGGCTTGCTGTGTGCCGGGCTGCTGCGGCCGGCAGCTGCTGCTCACAGAGAAGCAATGCACTGGCTTTTTTTTATGTTTATCCAGAGTGATTTGCACCCACCAGCTTTAGGCACAGGGGTTGCACGGGACTACAGGAGGCTCAGAGCAAACTATGTGCGGAAACAAACAGCTCTCGCTGCCCACACGCAGCCTCCTGCTCTGTCAGCCCAGGGTAACTCAGTTCAGGTCTACAGTTTTCTCAAAATGACATCTAGTTCCACAGGGGAATTTGTATCCAGGTCCAGTTTTGACCTTCTAGATCAGTAGTCCAAGCAGAAAGAAAAGCAGCTCCCTCCTTGGCAGGCCCCACTGGCTGCCCACACTCACCCTCTGCCAGGCAGAGCTCCCTCTCCTGAATGCTCACTGGATCGCCTTTCTGCACAGTCCCACCGTGCTGCTCTCTCCCCCTTTGCAAGATTCCTACTTACTGGGAAGAGCTAGAGCCTGTAACATTACCAAATGTCACAGCTGCCTGCAGGGGGAAAGTCCCTTTTTAATCATTAGCAAGCTCCTGGTTCATATTTTTCCGTCAGGTGATTCCACTCTTTATCTGCAATCACAGAGGGGGCTGTACTGGTGGGGACCAGTGTTATTCATATTGCTGAAGGGAAAGTTGTACAAGCTCAAGCAACCTGCCTCTGCTTCTCTTCTCTTCCCCCAGCCCAAGTCTCTTCTTTCCTACATAAAACACATGTGGAACAAGCTTTGCTGCATCAGGCAGTGAGCATCAGATTAAAGTTTTGCAAGCAACATGCTCTAACAAAACTTCCATGTGAAAAATGGGAATGACACCAGAGAAAACTTGTCTTCCAAGTGGTAGCCAATTTCTAATGACCTGACCTATATTTACCCTTAAGGCATAACAATAAAAGCAGTTTAAGTTGATACAGTACATCTCATCCCTAAGGATCCTCAGAAATGCAACCAACTGATATATAAACAGCCCACAGTTAATACAGAGAAATGCAGATCTTCCCGAGGACGCAATACATCAGTTTAAGAGATACCAAAAATAAGCTGCAGTCTAAAAATAAAAACAGAGATTAATGTAGCCAGCCAGTAATCCCGATCCATTAGACTCTGGCCAGAACACCCTACTTAACTCCATGTGGAACACAAGTAGGACTTTAAATGCCCTAATTTGGACCTTGGCTTTACACACCAGAAATTAACCCCCTCACTGAACAGTATATCAGCTCAAATAAGGTGGCGAAATGCTTCCCACTGCATCCACCACACTGCTTTTTGGAGAATCTGACTGTCCCATAACAGCCTCCAGTGAAAAAGTTTTAGGAGGTAGAGATATAGACTACACAGTACATGTAACACCATCATCCCTCACCCCGGCTAACAAAAATGGACTTTGCTTAGCTTTCCCTCTTCTCATTTGGCCATTTAAAACAAATCTTTCAAATTAGTAACAGTCAAATTATTATTAGAAAGCAGGAGGGAAATATGTTTTTCTTGTTTACCACTAGAGTAATAGTTTGGAGCTGCCCTGTTCTTATCTCTACAGCAGCTGTAAATGGGAGCCTGAGATATGCAGATTTTAATTGCAACGTTATCAGAATGAGTGTTAAATGTTCCCTGGTTTCCATCGCACTAGCAAAGTCCGTAGACTTGTATCTGCACCTGAGTGTACACTTGCAGACAGCAGGTTTACTTCACTGATTTTCTTTGCTTTTGGTTTTAACAGCCTGGGCCAAGATCCTGCTGGATGCTGTGAACTACATTTCCTGGTACATTTACCACGAGCCACGCGAAGTCCTCGAGATTAAGTGGGAGGAAACAGTTAATAGGTATCTGCAGCAGCAATCACAAAAGGATGAAGTTGAGGGACCAACTCTGGTAAATCAACAGCACCACAGCGACAGCACTAGACGGTTCTCATGATTAGTGTGGCAATCAGGAAATTACAGTTTAATGTGTTTGCTGGAGGCAGCAGCACGAGAATCTTCCATATACTTTAAAAACTGATTAAAACCCTACTGCCCCTTTTCAGTATTCAGGCACGTAAGGCTGCTTCTCGGAGCCCTGCCAGCTGCTTTCTGCAAGGCAGTATGAAAACAAACATCTCATCCCTGCAGCCCCACAGCTCTGCCAATTGAGTACTCGGTGCACCCAGAGTGGAGGAGGCTTTTGCAAAATCTAGCCCTTAGGTATCAGGTGCAAAATCACCTCTTGTGGTTACAGCTTTTTACACTGTTAAACTGACTTTTAGGCAATCCCTTGGTCTTGAAGTGCCCACTGGACCAGGCAGCAGAGACTGCTAACATAATCCTAAATAAAAAAATGCAGAGAGCATTAATCTCCTCTCAAGCTGATGAGCATAAAACCCACTCCTGTTAAATTAATGTAGACATAGCAGAGGTATTAAACCAGAATACACAAAAATACAAAGAGGGTTCAGTTTGGCACAGATGACTGAAGCGTTCATAAAATTTTGCTCCTGTTTCAGCAGGGCTAACTCCTGTCCCTGGATAGGTCGGGCTGCTCTATCCCCTGGGGGCATGCCTGACCCTCCCAAAACTGCAACACATGGGTGAGAGGCCTGCTAAGAAATCTAAGTTGTGATAAGCTCCACCCGGTATCCAAAAATCATATATCCAAAAGCTGAGTTTCTTTCTTATTCTTCTCTCGTGGACCATGTAGAAAATCATATAGAAGAACTGCTAGAATGTGTTAATAACAAAAAAAAAAAAAAAAAAAAAAAAAAAAAAAAAAAAAAAAAAAAGTATCTCAGTAGCACAAAAGCAGCATCAATGACCTCCACCACCCACCACTTTAAAACCTTTGCTTTGTACTATCTTCTATACGCCATCACTTTAAGCAAATACTGTACTATGACCTTGCTGGCTCTGAGGAGCTACAGAGAAGACAGCAGCTTTATTAGTTTTAATGTTAACGAGACTTCTGCTTGGCCCTGAATCTGCAGCTGGCTGCTACTTTACATGTGGATCAGGGTTTAGGGTTGAATCCTTTCTCAAGCTGTGCTTTTGGATGCTTAATACCCAGGGGTGCTGCCCCAGGTCTGGGGGCCCCCTGCAAGGCCCAGGGCCAGCCGCAGAGCAGCTGTAGGGCAGCAGCATCTCCCCGGGGCAGGAAGTGGGCTGGCCTCGGCGCCACTTTCCATCCAGAAAATATTTTCCATCTCCTTTCCACCACCTACAACTGGCTGCAGTACCGCCAAGTTAAAATGCACAGAAAATAAAAGCATTTCGTGTGCCTCCGAAAAGAGGTTTCTGCTGGCAAATGCTCACTAAAAATAGCCTCACGTTTGCCTGTGAGAGCAGCTGGAGGGCACTTATAGAAGGAGGCAAAACCTCACTCTGCTGAACTCAGTTTCCAGCCATCACAGCAAAGACGGGAAGTTTTAAAGTTTAATTTCTGCGTGGTTCTAGCAAAACCCCAACCGGAGGTAGTGTGGTCCTGGCTGGGCTTGATTCCCCTGGTAGTCAGAGCAAGAGCTTGCTTTCCAACTCCCCTCCTCCCTTTTTTGCAAGGAAGCAGGTAGGAGGAGATTCATTTGTTAATTAAACTTCCCCTGCCAATTTACATTAAAAAGGGGAAACTGTTTCAAGAAGCTTGCAAAACTTTCATAACCCTTAACCTATGTAAAGAGTTGTATGGCTTTTTTCTAAACCTGCCCAAAAGCACCACTGGGTTGTCCCAGGCCAAGTGACAAATAACAAAAAAAACAAACAAAAAAAAAAGGTCCAGGAATGGCACAGCTGGGCTGAAAATCAGGAACATCTGCTCACAGAGGCATTCACCCTCTTCTCTGGCTCCCCCTTTCATCACTGGATTTTCTCATAAGTTCTTGTTCAAAGGGATGTCATCCCATGGGAAAACAACAAAAGGAAAAATGCACAGACACTGTTACTCAGCAAGGCCAGCAATAGTTGCAAGAGCAGAAAAATTCTTCGTGGGAATCCCCCAGATCTGAGAAGTAGAAGCAAAAATTCACCAGGGAAAAATTCAGTGTTGTCAGCCCTGCAGACCATGCCTTTTATCCATGTGGGAGCCTGCATTTATCCCGTTGATGGCATGACAGCAGAGAAAGGAGCAGAGAAAAATCATTAGGAATGGCCAGAGAAAGTAAGAATAACGGGAGAAGATGTAATTTCTTCTTTAAAAGGTTTGTTGTTCCATTACAGATATGTAACTTTTGAAAGAGGCCTGTTTAGTCCTGGACCAGAACTGGGTGTACAGGAGCGGTGCTGAATTCTCCTGTTCATTTCTGATCCTGCTGCACTGAAACAGAGTGAAAACTTGCACAGCAGAGATGTGAAATCCTCTAAACACCAAGGTAGCACCTGCACACTTGCGGGTACTGGGACACTGTAACACCAGTCATGTGCACAACTACCTGAATCTCTCCAGAAAGTGATACCCCTCCCTGCCAAGCAACAGCAGGGCAGACATCCTGTTGCCACCTCAGCATCGCTCTGGGTGATGTTTGGTTCCCTGAACTTCTCGTGTGACCTCGCTACCCTAGGCTGCCTACAAAGCCTGGGAGTCCCTCTCACCAGCCCTCAAAGGGGTCCTCGCAGGGTCAGGGCTCTGCTGCTCTGCGGCCGAGGGCCATGGAGGAGAGCTGTTGTGCCACGCTGCACCTCGTGGGTGATGGGAGTTTCTCTGCGTGTGATCACCACCGCTTCGTACACCTACAGACTGGCCTTCGGGCCCAGACCTCCCACAGCGCCTCCTACCAAACAGCGAGCTGGGAGGGATGGGTCGGGGGGTGCCACTAAGACCAGCAGCGCCCTTTGGGTCCGGGTGGCCCCCACCACACAAGGGGAGCCCAGCACAAAGAGCCCCGGGGTGTGCGAGGGGACCCCGCAGCCTGCAAGGGCACCCCCGGAGCTGTGCGCACACCCGCTGCCCCGTCGGGGAAGGGGCACCGGGAGCCCCACGACTGTACAGAGCGGGGAAAGCCCCCCGGGAAAGCCAGCGAGGGGCAGCCGCCTGGGGCGCACCAGGGAAGTACCGACGGGGACGCCGAGCAGGCGAGTACTTCCCCCCCATCAAGGTGGAAAAACGCCAAGTCCCCTCCCGGGCCGGCCCCTTCC